CTTGGTAGCATAAGAGCCAATTCCAAGCTCGTCCCCCTAAACACCCGCCTTAGTATATTGCACGTTTTACATGCTGGAAAAGACTAGTAGACCAAGTTGATAATAGCCTCAATTAGCCTGTCCTTTTGCGCAAATGGTTTTTTTCTTGCTTTGTTAACCCCATCTGATAAGTTTGTGCGATCTTACAGTAAAACCATGGTGATTTAGACTGATCAATCATCATTCTTAATGTTAAAGTCACATCTTTAAATGCCATCAATTTCTCCCACGCAGTCTTTTTCCTTTTCAAGCAAACAGAGAACCGTATCACAACCGGTAAAAACATGGATCACAGTTACTATGTGTGATCACTTATTGCCTAGTGCATTTGAAAGGTCATGGATAGATATTTATCCAAATTTATTTGCCCTCCCAAACACAAGCCATAGTTTGTCTACCCCTATGTCACGGAATAGCGAAACAGTAATGATAGCATCATCAGTAACGACTGTTCGAATCATGTTTCGTTTAAGTCTGTGTTTCACTGCATCAGACACATGCACCATGATTTTAGTGTCAGCCTCTTAATGTGAACATGGTGCTAAACTTGAAACATCATCATGTGGTGGATAAGATAGAACATCCTAGGCATTTGTTGCTACAACTACCATACGCATCCAAGACTTCATCCACACTTGTTACAGTTTCAAGGAGTTTCTTAAGGTAAGGACATGATACCAAATCAGCATACTCGTTAGGAAACACCTTGAAACTGTAACAACAGTGGATGTAGTCTCGGATGCGTACATAGACAATAGCTTGACGGCTGCTACAAGAAGCAAGAGCTAGGGAAAGGGAATACACAGACGAGTCCAGGGTTAAAACAAATTCCTCAAAATTAGCAAAATTTTCTGAGAGATGACGACAATAATAAAGAACTTTTTAGTTTTCATTCACAGCAGCTTGCTCAATAAAATTTTGAGGAAAAGGTAGTTGTAGCAACAAATGCTCAGGATGTTCTGTGTTATCCACCACATAATGATGTTTCAAGTTTAGCACCATGTTCACATGAAGAGGCTGACACTAGACTCATGTTGCATGTGTCTGGTGCAGTGAAACACGGACTTAAATGAGTCATGATTCGAACAGTCGATACTGATGTTACTGTCATTGCTGTTTCGATATTCCATGACATAGGGGCAAACGAACTTTGGCTTGCGTTTGGGAGTGGGAAAAGGTTTAGATATATATCTATCCATTTCAAATGCAATAGGCATTGAGCGATTACACGTTTGCTGGAAAAGGAAAAAAGACTGCGTTGGTGACATGGATGGTGTTTGAAGATGTGACTTTAGCATTTAGAATGATGATTGAACAGCCAACATCACCAGATATGGATTTGATAATTTCATTGATAGAACGATATGTGGTTTTACTGTAAGATCGAACAAACTTATCAGATGGGGTTAACGAAGCAAGAAAGCATCTGTTTTTGGAAGAGGAAAGACTAATTGAGGCTATTCCCACGACTCGGTCTAGACTTTTCCAGCATGTAAAACGTGCAATATACCATGGCAGGTGTGAATGAGTAATAAACTTGGAATTGGTTCCTATGCTAACTAGTCCAGACGCTTATGAATGGTGAAGGGACAAATATGATCCATGGGAACCCTTTTGAACAACTCTTTGTGAGGCCTCTTCATCTTGTCAGGAGCTTGTACATTATGGATGTAAGAAAGGATGCCACGGTCTTTGTAAATGTGAAAAATCAGGTCTCTCTTGCACTGCTTTATGTGCTTGTGGTGGTGATTGAAAATAAACATGTATTTGCGGCCATAAATAAGTAAGTCTAAAGATGTTTTAGTACTTTTAGTGACCTTATTATGTTTAATCAATCTCTTCAAAACTCTACATCGAGGATACAGATTCAGGACTCATCTCTGAAATTTACGCCATATCGTTTTTTTACCGGAAGTGTTAACTTTGTATTAAAACATTTTAAACATAATAGTGAATTAGTAGTTTGAAGATAACTTCAAGCCAAAAGTTTAGTTATCGGCACAAAAACACTTTTTTTACATTTTGAAAAAAAGTTGAATATTAAAATTAAAAGTTGATATTTCTATGTCCGCCATATTGGATATAACCGGAATTAGGGGTTTTAAAGACATATGTCCTATATATTGTATCCATGAGAAGCATCAAAGAAAAGTTCCTGCACAATATAATGATAGTAGCAATACGTTAAAACACATTTCAATAACCCTCCCTAAAAAATACGCTTGTTATAGTACAATCTCCGCCATGTTGTATTTAACCGGAAGTATGACTTTTAAAGTCATATAATCTATATATTATATCCAAAAGTAGCACATAACAAAGGTTTGTGCCAAATATAATGATAGTACCATGATTATAACACCTTTTCACATAATTCAGCCTTCGATATTGGGCTGATTTAAATATAATGTCCGCCATATTGAATTTTACCGGAAGTGGTGTATTTTTTCAGATGCCTCCTTATCTGAAATCAAAGAGTAATACTAGATTAAGCTTTGTGCCCAGTTCCATGCTTGTAGCAGGATGTGCACAATTTTTCACGAAGCCACCGTACTATAAAGGGGTCGACTGACAATTTTGGTCATGATGACTTATTTGTAGATCTTACTTTGCTGAACATTATTGCTGTTTACAGTTTATCTCTATCTATAATGATATTCAAGATAATAACCAAAAACTGCAAAATTTCCTTAAAATTACCAATTCAGGGGCAGCAACCCAACAACAGATTGTCAGATTTGTCTGAAAATTTCAGGGCAGACAGATCTTGACCTGATAATCAGTTTTACCCTGTGTCAGATTTACTCTAAATGCTTTGGTTTCAGAGATATAAGCCAAAATCTACATTTTACCCCTATGTTCTATTTTTAGCCATGGCTGCCATCTTGGTTGGTTGGCGGGGTCATCGGACACATTTTTTAAACAAGATACCCTAATGATGATTGTGGCCAAGTTTGGTTAAATTTGGCCCAGTGGTTTCAGAGGAGAAGATTTTTGTAAAAAGCTAACGACGATGATGCTGACGACGACGACGACGGACTCCAAGTGATGAGAAAAAGCTCACTTGGCCCTTTGGGCCAGGTGAGCTAAAAAATGATAACAATCGTTATTTAAAAAGAGAACAACTCCAATAAGGTTCATCAGACGACTTAAACCATGTTGACTTATTTAAGTTTCTATCTATCAATTAAAGTTTTTCAAATATAAGGCAAACATTTTAAAAGTTTGTAAAATTTTCATTTCAGGGCAATAACTCCTGTAAGTCGTCTGACAGTTTGGAAGTAATGGACAATAGGTAAATCTAATCATTCCAAACATTTTTGACCTTGTCAGATTTTGTCTATTTATAGTGGTTTTCAAGATAATAGACAAAACTTGCATTTTACCCCTACGTTCTATTTTAAGCCATGTCAGCCATCTTGGTTGGCAGGCGGGTCATTGGACACATTTTTTAAACTAGATACCCTTATGATGATTATGGTCAAGTTTTGATATAGTTTCAGAGAAGAAGATTTTTGTAAAAGTTAACGACGACAATGATGGACGCCAAGTGATGAGAAAAAAGCTAACATGACCCTTTCGCCCAGGTGAGCTAAAAAGCAAAGAAAGACATGATTCATGAATAGAAATTTTCTCAACTTATCACTTGTCGTTTAATGTACCACATATATTGAAGATGATGATGATGGATGATAAAGTGCAGTGGCAAGTTCAATGCATATTCAGGGTGAGAACATGTTAATTTGATACCAATGTAAACCTTGTTTTGTACTAGACTGACACATTGAGCCAGATTTTCAAAGTGCAGGTTTACAAGGTAAACAGTTCGCAGGAAGACATGTCAAACTACATGGGACACATTAGTCTCACTCAGAGATTACCAGTCTTTGCTATTACCCTTAAATGCCACATGCTTAGCAGAGAAGAAGCAAATACCAACTTTCAAGTCTTTAGTTTGACCTGGCCAGGGATCAAACCCTCAACCTCCCCCAAGATCACAGGGGCAGTTTATTCCATTTTGATAAAGTGCATTGAAGGAGATTCAGTTAAAAATCACTCTTGGAAGTGAATTTGCACACTGAATGGTGGTGATTTTGAGTGATTCACTCTGAAATCTCCCTATGTAGAATCCATAAGTAAAATATGACAGGGTTATAAATGAGCGTTATCACCATGTCTATCAATCATCTGCAGTGGTCACCCTGTTTAACACAGTGATTCACTCATCACCAGGAAGAGTGATTTTGATCTAATTTACCTTGTACATATCCTAGTTTGCTTAAAACAGAACATACTTGACAAAACATTTTTTTTATAATATAATCTTCTTGGTAGTGATTAAAATCAGAAACAAAATATTAAAGATAAAACAGACAAGGAAGCAGTCAAGGAAGAATTTGAATATTTTAAACTTTGTTGCAAGCTAGATTTTTGAGATTTCTTTATTTGATTATTAAAAAAAAGCTCGCTTAACTTTTTGCATTGTAATAACTGTATCTTTGCTTACAAAAACTAGAAGAAATATGAATTATTGATCAATTTTATTTTCGAGACCCAACTGGTAAAAAGCAGTCAGTAAAATATTCAATTCATAATTTTATCAATTCATATCTTTGCAAAACTTAATCAAAAAATGTGCAAGAACCTTATTTATGGATGGGCAGACTTCAAAAAGGTAAACATCAATGCCAAAAGCTTATGAGTTGGAAGGACTAAAATACAGGTTTTCATCATTCAGTTATTTTTCAAAACACATAAACATTTATTTAACCTGCAAGTTATTTCTATCTTACTATGTATAATTTCATAATAATTTTCATTTCATTTCATCTGATATCAAATGTATCAACTTACCTAAGTTTCATTTCTAGTCAATATGCATAATTTAAATCCCGGTAAAATCTTTCTATAAATTTGCAAAAAAATTAAGTATAAAAGAAAATATATAATAGTAAACAAACCTGTTTTACTTTTACGCTTATCCTTATTACAATTTAAATCCACCGTATATTTCCTTCTTATTATCCATGTGAAACTGATTAGCTTAAATATAACAAAATGCTTTTAAGTAGATTTTCCTCTTTGAACATGTGAACATCTTAATGAGCATTCTATGTATATAATACTACAGACATACACCAGGTCTTTACATGAGGAATTAACTGTGACACCGATAGTCTTGTCTGTTTCTACTTATAATAAACTAAAATATATTTCTTGATCATTTGTATAGTTTTTAATATACTTAACAACTGAAGAAACACAGCACTTATCTTACATTTGCATGTTTGTACTAATTTTTTTTTTTAAATTGAAATTTGTTTAAGCAAGTTTAGCCAATAAAAAGGTGTATGGTGTGTTAAGGGTTTCCTCCTTAAGAAATTAGGGTTGATAGGGGTTGAATTCTTTTATTTTTTGTTAAATTCATTTTTTTACCTCAAGAGTAAATAAGGGATATACTTAAAATTTGTCACCATTCATTAACAAAAGTTCAGATAAAAACTTAAAAGTAGGCAATTTGGGTTATACAAAAAAAATGGTAGGCAAGGAAACTTATACAAAATAATCTTTTATATTGCTTTAATTAATTTAGAGCTAATAGAAAAAAAATTAGAAAGATTTTACATTTTTTTGAAAATATATGGGTCCGTTAGAAATGTAGTAAGAAAAACAGAAAAAAAATTTCTCAATTAAGTTTGGAAAAGATCTTCATCAGGTTATTTTTTTCTTTGAAAAATTGATTTTAGAAATAATTCTATTTAGTAACTTAATTTCCTACGGCTTGTAAATGAATGCTTGTGTTAAGGCTAACCCTACCTACCCTAATTTTTTGCATCTACCATAAAGATTTTTTTTTAATTTTTTAAACAAGACCTATTAGTCAGGCTTTTTCCCCTGTTTTATATACAAACCAGTCAAAAAGTAATAAAAAAATTAAATTATTTTCATACCTTCCTACCCTATTTTTTTTTTTTTAGGCCTAAATGTCAAAATAATTTGACTGATCCTTTAGACAGTTTAAAATATAAAGCTATTTGATATAAAGATAACAGCATCTTCACTAGCCAATGGTTACAATCTTCAAGGAGGGGGCAGGATCATAACCCTTGGCTAACAAAGACAAAATAATAGTGGCTGACAGAGCCATTTGATGTTCAATATACCATCTAAGAAGTATACATCTGCTTGGTATGTCACAAATTCTGCAACAATAACACCTACATGTAGCTAAATTCCTAAACTATTTCAGTACATGTACTTCAACAAATGAATGTCAACAGGACAATAACAATCTAATTTAGAGAAAAGCATTTATAACACTAGTTCGAGAAATAATTTGCTAATTTACATATGCTAAAATGTCTCTCATTTGCTTTGTTGATCATTTTGAAAGTTTTTAAGATGGAAGTTTTACTATGCAGCTATCACATAATTTGTCATTATAAATGACCCATGAAAATTAGGTCATGGTCAGATGAACCCTGCCAAACAGACACCTACACTATACAATCATTTAATACACCATTTACAGTTGACCGATTGTTTATAGAATCTGAGAAACAGAACTTAATGACTGGTTAGGGTTAGGGTTAGACCAATGAACCATGAATAATATCAAGGTCAGAGGTTGTTTATAGTATCTGAGAAACAGAACTTACCTGACCAATGAACCATGAATAATATCAAGGTCAGATGAAACCTGCTAGACAGACATGCACTGACTGGTAGTAAGTATCGTCTGCTTACAATTCAGTGCACAGGTTGCAGTTTCAATGCCATCCAATGCATTGTGGATGATTTAGATAAAATAGTCAATTGATGAATAGTGTATGAAAAAACAAAATTCACTCAATGCTTGCAATTGGTTCAAATCCATTCAGTGGTTTCAGAGGACAGGACTTTTTATACCCATAATAGTTTATGCCAATGGAAAGTCAATGTCAAATGATGGTAATACATGCAGTGATATATATATCACAATGAACAATAAAAGTTCAGCTTGTCAGAATGGTGCTTTTTATATTGACTTGCATGAAACACTGAAAATGATTGCCTTACTTCAAGTCTTAAAATCAAAATTTGACAAAAACTAGATATCATTGAGATGGGAACCATCTATGTGGGCCCGCTGTGAATAATGTGTGGTAAAAAATTTGTATCTTTACCATAGGACAAGGGGTTGTCAACTGAAACCAAAGTTTTTGACCTTGATCTTTGACCTAGGAAGTTGTATATACATTATGACATTCCCTCTGGTGTTGATTAATATACATGTCAAGTATAAACTTTGAAATCATAACGGTTCTCAAGATATAGAGCGGACACAATCTTTACCATAGGACATGGGGTTGTCAACTGAAACCAAAGTTTTTGACCTTGACCTTTGACCTAGGAAGTTGTACATACATTATCACACACACTCTCTGGTGTTGGTTAATATACATGTCAAGTATGAACTTTGAAATCATAACGGTTCTCAAGATATAGAGCGGACACAATCTTTACCATAGGACATGGGGTTGTCAACTGAAACCAAAGTTTTTGACCTTGAACTTTGACCTAGGAAGTTGTACATACATTATGACACACCCTCTGGTGTTGGTTAATATACATGTCAAGTATAAAGTATGAAATTATAACGGTTCTCTAGATATAGAGCGGACACAATTTGTTACGGACGGACAGACTGATCACTATAGGGCGACCCGCCATTCGTCGGGGCCCTAATAAAAATAGAAGCAAAATCCACATTACACAAAAATAATCAATCAGCATACCTAGAAGATTCAATTTTCAAGAAATATCATGCTGCAGTCTATATCAAAATTGATGAAATATATGTTATTGCAAGAGTTCAGAAATCTGGAAGTCCAAAGGTCTGGGACTTTTTATGTTCTGTAAGAACCTTTTACTGTTTTGCATAGAATGTCTGATGGGCTTTGACACCTATATACAGCTTGGTTGAATAATAATGATTAAAGTAATTGTTTTAATGCAAAACTTATCTAATACAGAAATGTTGCCATAATTTTTTGTTAAAAATAATGGACATATGAAAATCTGGGACATTTAACCACAGGAAAGATTTTAGAATTCTCATATATTAACTTGGTTGAAACCATGTTCAAATAATTTGAAGTTTCAATTTTTCCTTCAGCTTTGATTTAATGGTACATTACTGCCTCATAATAAAATTGACATAAAATGCATCTAAACATTTCCTATCTTATATCCTTGAGCATCTGTTACACAGGTAATTTGAACATGTTTTTATGATTTTCTATACTATACTATACTATAGTTTACCTGCATACAGATGTATAAGCAAGGTGCTTGGATCATTGAATTTCATCTGAATGAGTCAAAGATTCAAAACGTTTGTTCAGAAATCACTAAATCTATAGATTTTCTCTCTCTCACACAATGGTGCATTCATAAATTATTAAAAAATTATTAATTGCAATTTCTAGACACACCAACATAAATTCTCATTAATAGGTTTCCTTGATTAAAATGATCCATCAACATCCAATTATACATGTGCATGGAATTGCATATATATATATATCAATAAGGAATTGGATGTGAAATTAAACATGGGATTGTCTCCTCTTGTATAATCTATACTTGATTATTTTTTACAAAGATTCATAAGTTTTGAGAATTCTGTAACAATAATATTTTTTCTATTTGATCAAATTTGTATTAAAATGCATTAAAGTTAAAACTAGCAAGCATTTGCTACTGCAAATTTTCAAGACTAGCAGGGTTCTCACTATGGATTTTTGAAGGCAAGTCCAGGGACTTGTAAATATTGGCCATATGAACAAGTCCAACAGTGGGAAGAAGAAATTATATTGCTATATATAATAATTATTTCAGTATCAATAACTAATAGAGTAAGGAAATGACATCAAATTTAAATAATTTTTTTAATTTTGCTACAAAATGATGTTATCACAAAATGGTACACAAAATGGTGTGACATCCATTTTGCTGAACTAGTACACATTTTTATTCGGGGGCCAGCTGAAGCCCGCCTCCAGGTGCGCGATTTTCTCGCTGTGTTGAAGATCCTTTGGTGGTCTTGGGCTGTTTTTTGCTCTTTGGTCTGGTTTTTGTTTCTTTGATACATTCCCTGTTTCCATTCTCAATTTTATTATGTGTGCTCATTGGATATCTTGATGTACAATCTTACAGTTTTGAAAATGACGAGTGCAGACAAATTTTCATGAGTCCAGGACTCATGGACTCGCCTTAGTGAGAACCCTGCCTGGCATATAACATAGGAAATTCAAAATTTCAACTAACAATTAGTCTGTTAACTGCCATAACAGTTTGACAAAGTAATTGATGTTTAAAAAACTTTACGCTCAGACTGAACCTAAATGTTGACGCAGACGAAGACCATGCAAATGATGAAAACATCGAGATTGCTCTGTCTTGCTTTTGCCACATAAACGTTGCAGGCTCAACAAAAAGAGTTAATCACTGTTGAAATCAATGAGTTTTGCTTATACATGTACAAGTAGCCCTTGGTGGAAATGTAATAAAATTATACAAATGGAATTAGCCCTCAACTTTTTTTTCATGTCAAGTTTATAGTAACATATGTGTATGTAATATATATGAGTTAAAATGTCAACATTATCATGATTATCTACAGACATGTATGCATTTACACCATGCTGCCATTACACATTATTAGACATGCATGCATTTACACTGTGCTGTCAATACACATTATTTGATATCCTAGATTCATTACCCTGCATCCTATATAAAATGAATGAGGTCAAATTGATGAAAGACATCTCTTCTTAATTATTTAAAGGAATCATTTAACATTAACCATATTAAACTTCTTGGTGACATTAAACATATATCATATTATAATCAAATCAAATCAAATCAAATCAAATATTTATTATTCCAATCATGGTCCCACAGGGGGCATTTACAATTAACAATTATGATAGTATAAGCAACAAACATGAGACATTGTACAGTATATAACGTGACAGATATTATAATAGACAATGAAAATAGCATTAATAACAAAAATACATTAAAAGTACTCTTGAGTATTCTTTTTTTCCTTCCTTCCTTATGTCCAGCAGTGTAAAAATAAAAAAAAAAGTATTAATAATAAAGTTTGAACAACC